TAGCTGGAACTACAGGCATGCGCTACCATGCCTGGCTAATTTTTTGATTTATTGTAGAGACGAGGTCTTGTCAAGTTGCCCAGGTGGGTCTCGAACCTGTGGGCTCAGGCGATTCACTCACCTCGTGCTCCCAAAGCGTGGGATTACAGGCTGAGCCACCGAACCCAGCTATTTATTTATCTTTAAGACAAAACAATGGCCTACAAGGTCACTTTTCACCTATGGGAATATGCTTTTGATTATACCCTAGGAAGCCACTTGGGCTGGCCTCTTCACTAGAGACATTTTGGTGGAAAATTTAGGGATCCGTATTTAAGCAGAAGTCTATGCCCTGCTGGGAACAGAATCATGTTCCTCCTTAAAGTGTCAAAGAATATCAGCCGATATCCCAGCTCAAGAATTCAGTGGGAGAAAATTATTCCAATTTTCTTGGCAACCGTGTAAGACAGAGGAAAGAAGAAAGTGAGAAAATATAGTATCTGGAGCCTAAAGATGAGAGTCATCTCAAACATTAAATACTGTTCTTGTCTGGATGTGCAGAGACTACAAGCACTTCTAGACTCCTCTTTCTTCTCACATAATAACTGACTTTGGACTTAACAAAGTACCCGTTTCTCAGAGAAGGCATTCTCTTCGAGCCTAAAGTGGTACTCCTGGGCTGGAGGAATTACATTTCCTAGTCAACATAGAAGAGAGAAACATGTGTACTGCAACTCTGACGAACATCTCTTACCTAAATCCAAACTTATCCATTGCGACAGAAATGTGCCTGGGCTGCGGGAAACACCTGTAAGCATTATGGTCATCCATTGGAATGAGGTCCACATCGCTGAACACAAAACAGTTGTAGTCATAGTCCTTCAAGGCTTCTTGAAAGCCTATGTTGAGGAGCTTAGCACGATTGAACATGGAGTCTCCAGCCTGGTGCAGAAACAAAAAAAGTGATATCAGATTCCTTAAAGCCTTTGGGCAGAACACTACACATGGTCATCAGTTAACTCTTGGGCCTCACTTTTCTGCCCTCACTTTACAAATCACTGTAGAGTGCCATGCCCTCTGAGTCAGCAATCCCACTCTAGGAATGTACCCTGCAGGAGGACTTGTGTGAATGACTATGAACAACATTGTTCACTGTGGCATGTTCACCATAGCAAATGAATGCAAACAATGACATAAGCACCACTAGGGAACTAATTCAATAAATCATGGTACATCCAGATAATGGAGCAGAGCTGTTAAAAAAAAAATTAAGGAAGCTCAAAAAGGAAAGGTGAAAAAGGTATTTAAACACATGCATCCTTTGTGTTCTCTCTCTCTCTCTCTCTCTCTCACACACACACACACACACACACACACACACACACACACACACACACACAAGACTAACTACAGGAAAGATCCAGGAAACTGGTGACATTAGTTAGGTACCTATGGGACTTTTACTTTCTACCCTCTGTATATGGTTGACTATGGTTTGATTATCACCTTGGTGCCTTCCATGTGTCCGTTTGGCACTCAACTAGGCACTCGAGAAATACTGCAAACCCAACGCAATCTCTGCACTTACGGTGCTCACAGTGTAGGGAAGGAAGCCATGTAATACACAAAAGAGAAACAGGGTATGCAAAAGAGATAGAGGGACACCTGCTTCACAGTGTGCCAACCACTGGGTCCTGAAGTACCAAGTCAACTGGTGCCAAGGCAGTGCATATTCTACTTACTTATCTTGTTTACTTTTCAGTCTTCCCTACTAGAATGCAAGCTCAATGAAGGCTGAGAATTTTTTTTTTCTTTTTCTTTTTTTAGAGACAGGGTCTCGCTCTATTGCCCAGGCTGGAATGTGGTGGTGCTACCACAGCTCACTACAGTCTCGAACTCCTGGGCTCAAGCAATCTTCCTATCTCATCCTCCTGAGTAACTGGGACTGTAAGCATGCACCACATCTGGCTAATTTTATATATTTTGTACAGACAGGGTCTCACCATATTGCCCAGGCTGGCCTCAAGTGACCCTCTAGCCTGGGCCTAACAAAGCACTGGGATTATAGGTGTGAAGCACTGCACTTCACCAAGGCTGAAATTTTTTGTTTTTCAATCGCCCTTGAACATAACCCGTCATATAATAAGAGCTCAATGAATAGTTACTGGCTGGCAGAATGAATGAATGGATGGATGGGTTTCAACACACAATGCCAGATGGCAACCTCTTCTGGGAGGCTACAACCAAGGGGTGCCCCCTCGGGGGTCATAGAAGATAGGGTTCTGCTCTTACCAACTCCCATGGCCCCAGGTTGGCAAGACAATCCCAGCACTGACAATGCCACCCCTTACTCCCAGCAGTTTACAAAGCCCTTCTACATATATACTCTCATCTTGAGTGGAATCCTTATGATACACCATAAAGAAATGAGCTAGGGCCCTATACTTTGGCATCCCCACATCTCCTGGGATCAACATAATCAGGGTCCCCTACTTTGGAGAAAAAGTGTCCTCAAGGGCTTGCAATTGGTACACAGTCTCAAAAATGGGATGTGTACAAGCCTGTAATCCCAGAGCTTTGGGAGGCCAAGGTGAGAGGATTGCCTGAACCCAGGGATTCAAGACCAGCCTGGGCAACTTGGTGAGACCTCGTCACTACAATAAATCAAAAAATAAGCTGGGCAGGTAGTGCATGCCTGTAGTTCCAGCTATTTGGAAGGTTGAGGCTGAAGGGTCACCTGAGCCCAGCAGGTCAACGCTGGGGTGGCTGTGAGCATGCCACTGTACTCCAGCCTGGGTGACAGAGTGAGATTTCAACTCAAAAAAAAAAGAGGGATGTGCAAAGTTCTCTCTCCATGGCCCTGAAAGAGTACTAGAGTATTCAGAAACTGGAATCCCACAAGGCTGCCCCTGTGTGCATACAGAACATACAGATATGCCACAGCCATCTGGCCTCAGGTGGGGGACTCAGGGAAGCAAAACACTTGGAGAAAGACAGGCACCAGGAACTCAGAAAAAATAGCTGAGAGAATAGTAAATGAATTTAGGAAACACTTTACATACAAGAGCTCCTTTTTAAATTTTTTTAGTCCCTGCCAAAGCTTTCTAACCCTGCACGGTGAAGGGAGAAGGCTGAGCCCAAGGCACACTGTGTTTTTGGCTGCTCCACTGGCTAAAGTTGAGTCAGAATTCTACGTTCAGCTAATTCTGTGTAGGTCATGGGTTCAAAGAAGTTCAAAGTTTAGAAATTGCATGTGAGCACTATGAAGTTGTTGGAATCATCATCACTGGGGGGGAGATCATATACCAGACCCAAGATGAGTCCTTTTACATGCGTGGCATGCACTGAATAGTCTTAACAATAACAACCCTCACCCTAACCCAGTCTTACATATTCAAACACAATTCAGTCCCCCTGGACACTTCTCCAACAAGCAAAAGGAGGTGTGTCAACCAAGCCTTTTCACACCTGTGAAGTACACCCAAGGATGGCTGCCCAGGTCATAACAGCACTTCCTTCTCTTTGTACACTCCCCGATAGCTGGAGCAGAGGTTCTTGCTGGCCATATCTGTACCACAGGACCTGGCCTGCTGGTCACGACTATTTGATCTAAGTAGACACCTGGCTGAGATTGAACAAAGCACTCTTCCTCTCCCAGGAACTGAAGAGTTGGAACCATGAATGGGCATCTCTGAAGTCAAGGCCCATGATCAATGGCAGCATGGAGAAGCCCAAGAAGCAGACCTGGCTTTACCCCCTTCACTGCGGATGGTACAACAGCTCTCTCAATTCAGTGAGGTGCCCTAGTGTCTGGCCCACACTTAGAACTGGTTAGGCACTTTTCCAAAATAACCTGAACTACATATCCCTCCTTCCATCCCAGCCTCATCTATGTGAGCAGGGAGAAGGGAAGTGCATGGTGCACTTTAGCAGATGTTATTATTCATCAAGGCCCCTGGAAACATTAGACCAGTAGAATAGTGGAGGAAAGTGGCTTTCTTCTTCCCCTGAGATTACAGAAAAGTTAAGCATTTTCTAGGCTTCTTTGGGTGAAATGCTGTAACATCTGGGCATTCACCTCTCTTGATAAGACAAGCCCTGGCAAGCCCACCAACCCCTGCCACTAACAGGAGGTGGGAAGACACCCAGTCTTCATTCCTGCCCCTCCTCAATCAGTACATTCATCCAGCGTGTCTGCTATAGCATTTGTTCCAGTAAACATTTATCAAGCGCCTTTGCAGGCCAGGACAGATATAGCACTATGACAGACACATGCATTTCTATACCAGGAATGCTGGCTTCTTTTTACTTATTACTTAGTACTTTCTACTTATTGGCTATGTGACTTGAAACAAATCCAATCTCCAGGCCTCAGTTTCCTCTTCTGTGTCACGGGGATAGCAGGTGTGTTGTATTAAATGAGACAATGCCTGAAAAGACCCCAGTCCACTGTCTGGCAACTAATGTTAGCTACTGTCTTTGTTACAGAAACAGGTTTTTCCATTCATCTTGAACAGTCAGACCTTCCAAAATGTCTCTGATACTCAACCCAGAAGCTCCACCTTCTTGAGTGTTGCAGTGTCCTTCTCAATCAGCTTCAAGATTCCTCCCAAATCCTGCTTCCCTCAGAGGGGGAATTTCTAAAGAGGATTAAGACTCAAGGGAGTTAGCTCCCTGTGGCTTACACGATTAGAGTCTCTAGCGGCAGAAGAAAGAGACCTTTAGAGGCCTGTGAAATGTGTGGGAAGTCACATTTGCTGAAGAACAGCGGGCACATTGGGCGCAGGAGTCCCTTTGAAAGACCCAGCTTTTTAAGTGTGGGTTTTATCATATGTTGGTAGACAAGCGTTATTATAGTTATCCCAGTCTTCTAGGGCAACTGGTGGCTCTCAGAGGGAGAAGACAGGAAGAAAGGCCCCCAAATATATAACATCCCCAAATGATTGAGCAGAGGCCATTACAGGAGGGGGATAAGAGACAGCAGGAAGAATCAGACCGGGCAAAGACTCTGGAGGCAGTGGAAGGAGAGAAGACAGTTGTAGGAACAGGGAAAGGCATGCACAGTTGGAGCATCTGTAAAGGCTTTGAAGAAAAGAGAACATCTGAGGAACTATACTTAATTCAGAATGGGGGAAGCTAGAATGGGACATGCAGGTAGAGGTGGGCCAAACCATGAGGTGGGTTGGGGAGGGAGGAGGGTTAGGTGCTTGCTAAGATGCTTAGGCTTCATCTTGCATTTAGGTCACAGGGAGTCTTAAATTATGTTTTGTATGCCAAGGAGGGATTTGTGCCCAAATCCAATTGATGGCAAGAAGACCAGTCAGGAAGCTGTTGTGTGATTACTGTGAGAGATGTGGAACCCAGGCAATAATGGGGGGTAAGCAGAGAATGCCTCTCCCAAGAGCTCCACTGCCCCTTTTATGCCTCGCCTGCTCTCTGGGCATGTGCACCGTACTTGCAAGCAGCCTTTGTGTGTGTGTGTTTGGAGGGGTTCAGGACAGGAACTAGAGTCTGTCCAACCAGGAAAATCCTAACTGTGATTAGGGAAGGCAAGTGTGGCTTTCCCCTGATTGCAATAGGGGACAGATGACCAACTACAGAAAGGCGTGGTCCCTCCTCCTCCAAGTCCTAACAGCCTCTAGAAGATCTGTTCTATCAACCACCCTGCCTTCCATGGACGCCAGGCCCATCTGTGTGACACTAGCAGACATAACCCCAGACCATGATGGCTTAGGAACTGACCATACCTAGCCTCTCTGCCAAGAGACACAGCAGCAGTGAGGTTGGAAACATCAACCCAAAGCCACGACTCTCAATGGATCAGAATTTCTACGTGACGAAAGAGACACCGTTGCTCCCATACACATGCCCTGACCCATCACAAAGCCACCCCACTATCCCACCATGCACACAGTTACCCCCAAGCTCTCAGCACCAAATCT